TCTATCTATCTATCTATCTATCTATCTATCTATCTATCTATCTATCTATCTATCTCTATCTGCCAGTCTGTCTGTCTTTCCATCCATCTGTTTATTCATTTATTCATCTTTACTGTAAGCTGTCAACACAGTTGAAGTTAAAAGTCAAGCTATTTTGGGTGATGGTTGATACAGGAGGTATAATACTCGAAATAATATAGAAATATTAGTGGGTATGAAGTGGACATTTTTGAATCATCCTAATGCACTTTCAGTTTTATACATTTTCAGGCTCAATCCGGTGCTTAATGGAATTAATTGATCCACAAAAAGCTTTTTGTTGTCTCGTCAGTGTATTTTGTGTTTCTTTTTCTCAGACCTTGTTTTACAAGCCTTCATGTAATTACCTAATGTGAGAACAGTGTTTAAAAGCCTGTCTACAACTCCCAGACTAACAGCGTAATTATGTTTGTGTCTGTGTTTATTACAGTTATTAGTGACTAGTACTACAGCGGTTGAGTGAGAGAATGTTAGTTAAACTGACGTGTGCACTCTGAACCAAACACAACCGGAATGAAACGCATTACTGTGCCTCTGCACGGCTGCAAGACTGTGAAACCCTTTGTGCCCTGCCGCGGAAGCCTCTCCAGCTCTGAAATACGATACGGAAAACCTAACACACACGTTATGAAAGCTGTGAGTGGCATGTTAGGGCAGCAACCTCTCTCTCTTTCTCGTTCATTCTCTCTCTCACATTCACATTCTATCCTACTTCTTTCATGACCTCATTTATTTTTCCTTTAATATTGGTAACACTTACCCAGGATTCTGGGCTCTGACTGTCTGGCCGTCTGGCTACCCTCCTTCCTGTCGTCTAAATTCAGCTCTCTCTTTTCCTGTCTCTTTTTCTCTGTGACCTTAATGTGTTGAGACTGTTTGAGATGTGTTTCTGTCCACGTACAGTATGTGTGACTTTTTTCCTTTGTGTTGATGACCCACGTTGGTGATGACTGTTCATTTGATTGAGTGTGAACATGTTATTCAGTACTGCTGTGGAGAAGCTACTCACCTACATACATACTTTAGTAGCGTAGCTGAGGCGTTTTTACAGTATCATAGCTTGTCCGATAATGAGCTGTACTCTGACAAGTAGTAGTCTAAAATTACGCTGTTTAGTGTTACATTGTATCACACAACAGCCTAACAAGCTACAGTAGTGTGCTAATCACTGGTGTCAAAAGTATTCACATTCATTACTCAGGTAGAAGTATAGATACTAGGGTTTAAAAAGACTTCTGTAGAAGTTGAAGTATCAACTCAATCTTTTTACTCAAGTAAAAGTGTAAAAGTACTGGTTTCAAAACGACTTAAAGTATAAAAGTAAAAGTAATGTAAGGAAAAAAATACCATTAAAGACAAAAGCTTAGGACGCGCCACAGGGGCCTATTGTGCACTACCCCACCTCCTCAAAAAACATTTTTCTAAAGGCCATAATGACTATAATGTTATATTAAAATGTTAATGTTGAAAAATGTGGGATGCACTAGGCTACCTGTTTCAGCCGCATATATGCCCATTGAAAATGAATGCATTTTAGTACAAAGCAAATACATTAAATAACCATATATTTGTACTACTGAGCATTAAAATGTGTTTCATGGAGCAGAAGATATGATGACTAGCTGCTTATAAGTATTGTAATGGTGCAAAAAGTCAAACTTCAGAGGCATGTCATCAATAACCTTTATTGGAATGTAAATGTACATCCAAGCTTAGCTGCAGGAATCTGTGAGGGCAACGGACAAGAAAACTGGTGTACCCAGGGCAGGCTTAGTAACAATTACCCTTGTATGGTTGTCTATATACAATAAACATTAGTGCTGTCAAAATGAATGATTAATCCAAGTGATTAATCAACAAATAAAAATTAAAAATAACTCATAATCCTGATACCTTCCCGGTATGTACTATGCTCAATTCTATAGCTAATGGCAACAATGTCACATTTAACTAGAAGATGCGTTGTCAATCGCAAACGCTAATTTATTCAAACGTCTCTCTGCCGAACTACCGACTGTAGTTTAATTTGCGGAGGATGAAGAGAAAGCACCCGTTTGATAAATGAGCCAGTAGTGGCGAAATTATAACTTTTAAGAAATAATCTTTTTTGAGTAACGACCCCAACACTGGCTATGTCCTTGCTGGAGTGTGACGTGATTTGTGTCATGTGCAGGTGCGATGGATCGCGTACAAACCAATAGGGTGTCGGAATGGTATATGTTTATACTTCTCATCCAACCACAGTCAAATTCACTCTATCCGGATGGCGCGATTTATCTGGATAGTTTTTTTTTTTTTTTAACGATGACAAGCCGGAATGAAATAGGAGTAACGAGGATATTTTTAAAATGTAAGGAGTATAAAGTACAGATAATTGCGTGAAAATGTAAGGAGTAGAAGTAAAAAGTCGGCTGAAAAATAATTACTCCAGTAAAGTATAGATACCCAAAATTTCTACTTAAGTAAGGTAAAAAAGTATTTGTACTTCGTTACTTGACACCTCTGGTGCTAATAATCAAAAACACTCTTCTATCTCTTATTCAATTCATTTAGTGAGTCAGTTTGTTTAATGGTTCATATTAATGAAGTGGATAAACTATTCACTGGTCTATTTGATTTTAAATTCCCTATGCTGCATTTTGCTTTTTTTGTAGTGAAATAAACGTTGACATATGGAAACACCTAAATACTGCTGTTTGTCACTATGCTTTGTTTTTCAAAGTTGAACTTTTTGACTTCTTCTTTGAAACACTGCATTCATGGCACTAGATACTTTGCAACAGTCAGATGCAACGGACATAATAAGACAGTTTATCTAAACATACCCTAACTGTCTTTTTTGTAGAGCTGCTTCGTGGGTTGAGACTTTCTTATTCCAGGAAAAGACCATGCATCACTTACTGTAGCAGGAAGTTCCTGCTAGTGTTTCATACATCAGTATCACATCTCCAGCACACTCTAAAATGGGCTTTTAATGTGGAGGTATTTTTGTGACATTGAGGCTGATGCGAACTGAATCTCTCTCTTTTGTTCTCTCTTTTTCCTTCTCTCGCCCTTTCTCACAGGAACCTAGAAATAAATAATGCTGTATTTTGGCTTCCATTTTTTCCTAGTGCTGATGCTCATACTTAGAGTTATTGAGGCAGTGTTAAGGCACATATTCTCCACGTAACTTATCCCATGCCATTTATGTTATACAGACACCAATGATGCCTGAAAATGTGCATTTCAATGAGCAGAGACTAATAATGACACTTTTATGCAATCAGATTAACAATTAAAATAATCACAATAGCCAACAGCCTCGTGGTTAGTGCATCAACATACAGTCCAGCTATGCTCACGGAGACCCAAGTTCGATTCCCGTCTCGAAGTTCTTTGCTGATCCCGTCTCCTTCTCTCCTCATAATGCTTTCCTGTGGTCTCTCTACTGTCCTATCTATAAAAAAGAAAAAGCCCATTAAAAAAAAATAATGACAATCAAAATAATTTTACATTGATTGAGACATTGAACTTCCAATACATATTTAGAGAGAAGAATATCATATGGATTTTGGGCTCTTTTGACTTGAGCCTGCTTGCAATCACGCAGACCAACAAGCAACCACCCAGAAAACCCTAGCAACTGCAAAATAATGCTGTAAAAATCGCAAAAAATATCCTAGCAATGCTCTGGTAGTCACCCACACCTATGGCACATTTTCTTCAAGTTATTTTTTATATTTATTTATTGCCTTTTTTCTGAAAAGTACCTTATTAAAATACATCTGCTAAGTGATTGATTCTCATGAATATGTGCATCTTCAGTGTTTCTGTATGTCATACAGAAGGTGTCTCGTTCTCACCTGCAGCACTCATTATTACATCCTTCCCCATCGCAGTCTCTCACATGCTGTCAGGCTGCGGTTGGCCATGATCCTCTCTTTCTGCTCATTTTCATGTCTTCTTATTTATGTGCTTCCTTTATTTCTGTTTGAGATTCACACTTTTAGTTCTAGATGCACTCATAAAACCAGCCCGCGGACTCTTTGATGGTGTTTTAATGACATTGTATGTTGGTGTGTTTTCTCCTAGGGCTTCAGTAAGGCTGGCACTTTCGCCACCGCTGACGCTGACAGGAGTTTGGGGGCTTCAGGCTGACGTCTTGGTGCTTTGATGAGGTAACGGCAGACCCCAGAAGCCCAGCCCCTGCGTTGCACCACCCCTTCCCTCTCCCCTCATCCCTACCCCTTTCCAACCAGTCAAGCCATGGGCCAGAAGATCTCGGGGAGCATCAAGTCCGTAGACGTGCGCGGGGAACCATCCTACAGGCCCCTGAGGAGGGAACTGAGAGGGCCGGATTTCTTCAAGCCAGCCCGGCTGGACCTACTCCTGGACATGCCCCCCGCTCCGTATGAGCAGCAGCTCCGACATGCCTGGAACCCAGACGACCGCTCGCTTAATATCTTCATCAAGGACGATGACAAACTCACCTTCCATCGACACCCTGTTGCCCAGAGTACAGATGGCATTCGCGGAAGGGTGGGATACACGCGAGGACTCCACGTTTGGAGGATCCATTGGCCTACTAGGCAACGGGGCACACATGCGGTGGTGGGAGTGGCCACAGCAGATGCCCTGTTGCACTCGGTGGGCTACACTTCTTTAGTTGGCAGTGATAGCGAGTCCTGGGGCTGGGACCTGGGACGTAACAAGCTCTACCATAACAGTAAGAACCGGCCAGCCTCTTCTGCACCCACATACCCAAGCTTCCTGGAGCCAGAGGAGGCCTTTGTGCTGCCAGATGCCTTAATGGTGGTGCTGGACATGGATGAGGGCACATTGAGCTTCATGGTGGATGGACAGTACCTCGGAGTGGCCTTCAGAGGCCTTAAGGGCAAAAAGCTGTACCCCATTGTCAGTGCGGTGTGGGGCCACTGTGAAATCACCATGCGTTACATCAATGGCCTAGATCGTAAGTATACACTTTCTCCAGAGTAAACTATTTCTCAGAATAATTGTTTGATCTTGATTGAAATGGAGGTTTCAGGTTTAGAGGTTTTGTAAACTTGCTTGAATTGGGTTGGTGTGGTGTGGTGATTAAGGCTCAGAAACCTGAAGATTGCTTGTTCAATTCCATCACCAGTTTACTCCAGAGCAAAGCATTAACCGCAAATTGCTCCAGGGGGATTAGCTCATGATGTTGTTCTACTTAAAATTTGAATTACATTTAGCCTGCTGAAAAAAAGATGTCTTAAACCATCCTTAGCTGGTTTGCTGGTCTCCCAGCCTGGTCAGGCTGGTCTTCAACTGGTCTTCCAGCCTGGTCAAGCTGATTTTCAGATAGTCTATGCCAAGAGATGTCCAGTCCTGCAGTGTTAATGTCCTGCAGAGTTCATCTTTAAACTGGCCAGCACACTTTCCTGGAAGTTTTTAGTAATCCCGAAGATTAGCTGCTTCAGGTGTGTTTAATTAGGATTTGAGCTAAACTCTGCAGTACAGTGGCCCTCCAGGAGCAGGATTAGACACCTCTGGTCTAGCCAGTCTCCTAGTCTGGCCAAGCTGGTGTTTAGCTGGGTGAAAGCACCAAAAGCCCTTTAAGAATTATCAGCCAACAGACCAGCTTGACCAGACTAAAAGACCAGCAAACCAGCTCAGGCAGGTTTAAGAAGTTGTTTCTTCAGGTGAGCAGCATAAGGCAGCCAATTGTTTCGTTGCAATCAAAACCCTGACCTTGTTCTGCCATGCACTACTAGTTCAGCTACAGCAACACTGTGTTCTATGTCAACATTGCATTAGATGTTGCCATGAATTGTTGGTATTTCAACATAGGTGTAGTTAGCCAGTAAAGGGAGCCTGAGTACTGCATCTTGTCTTCTGTCCTGTTAGTTCAAGACCACAGTGTAAAGAGATGGAGTCTGGTTCTTCTTTCACAATGTCCCTCAGGAAGCTTGGGCATTGCTGCAGGCATGTATTCATTATTAATGTGCAGGAACAATGAAACACGCAATGGCAGTGGAGGCAGGAAGCCTCAAAACATTGCTGGTTAGCTTAACTGTTTTCTACAACTCGCATAACATTAAGGTTAACGAGTAGAAGCTCACCTTTTGATATTCACAGGAAACATGCTTATGAGTTTGGTGCATTTACGGTTGCATGTTGTGTGTGTTGTGCAAGTGATTATGTATTAGTTTCAAGCACTCAGAGCTATCACACCATTCACAAGGCTAAACACTGAGCCTCTGTGTTTGTAAAGGCTTGAAACTCTCCTTCACCCATCATCAGCATGTGTTTTGGAAACACTTTTTTCTAATCCGCTCCTGCCAAGCAGACGATGTGTGTATAAGCCAGAGAGTTTGTGTGAAACGGCATTTTAAAGCCAGAGGCATGTTTTTGTAACCCTCTGAGCTTTATTTGATAGCACAACCTCAAGGTGTTTTTTCTCCTCACATCTTAGAGAACAGAGATTCAGAGAGTCATCTGGTAGATTTAGCTGTTTCTCCATGAAAGAAACTCCATGTTCAAACATCCATACCTGTGGATGTTTTATTTTTAGCTTACTCTGCTTCATGACATTCTAAAACCTGCTTGATTCATTTCTTCTGCACAACACAAAAGAAGAAATATTGTGAAGGACTTTCTGGTCCAAATGAAATTGGACCCTATTGACTTTCTTTGTATGTACAAAAAACATTTTGACATTTAAAAATAGCGTAATGTATGATTGGAATGACAGTAGGATGAGTAAATAATGATAAAATTGGAAATGTTTTTATCATGGTAAAACACTGAGTAACTTGCTTTTTTTAAAGTAGCAACAGCTGTATGATAAAAGGCACCAATGTTTAATAAATAAATACATTTATTGATAATTACAATCACAAAATTCCCTGTTGTTTTTTGGGAACTGGCTTTTTTTTTTGTAATCACTTTCATTTTCACAAGAAATGAAAGGCCTCATTCCCTGTAGACGTTTCACTCCGTTGACTGAATTGTCAATGTTGAAGGAATAAAAGCATGATATCCCTTCATAAAACTTGTCATTGTACAGAACTTCAAAGTATTAATTTAATAAGTAAGACCATAAGCAGAACCCTGTCAGTGTCATTTCAGCCCTGTTTATATGGATTAGGTTGCTTTGGCCTCGATGTCGCTCTACAGAGTCTTCTCCTCCCTGGTGTGTTTCCGTATCAGGGGACAGAGAGCAGAGTGGAACACTCTCAAAGCCCCCTCGTCTGAAGTTGAAAGAGCCCTCTTTCTCCCTTTCAGATGGAAAGAGCAACTCAGTAAGTGGTCCAAAGACCGTTTGAAATCTTTTCAAAGCTTCTAGTAAGCATGTCTTTATTTGCTGGAAAATTGTATGAAATGTGCGGAGCAATGTTTAATGCTTGAAAGAGAGAGAGAATTCTGTGAATCTCAAGAGGTGTTTGGCAAAGCCATCTTTGGACCGGATCGCTGAGCTGCACTTGGAAGCTTGCGGTTTCCAAAGTAGTGTTAAGATTTGCACTTGTCACACTTCAGAGGATTGTGGGTTTATATACACGTTTTAGGTGTTTTGCACGTTTTAAGTCACGTGCAGGAGGCTGTTAAGCACCTTTCCTTGTGGAATGCAGCCACAGTGAGAGAGAGAAACATGGGTAATAAATACAGCAAGGAAGATGAGGTCGGAAAAATGTAAGCTGTGACATTTTTAGATATGTGCAGCACAGTCTAAACCCCAGGCTTAATTTTAATATATATGCAAGCATCCTTCCAACACTGACTTGTTACACATCTCAGCGGACAATAGCAAACTAGTTTCATTACACACACACTCGGAGCTGTCTGACTGAATCAGACTCCTCTGTGGTAAATAGGTCTTGGAATAGATACTTATGAGTTTAAAGTGTCCAGGGTAAGAGACTGTGAGAGACAGAAAGAAAGAGATAATGTAAACACAAGAGAAAGAGAGAGACTGTGTCAGCACTCAGTGAGCTGCCTCCTTAGACATCATTTTTAAAGGAATAAATAAATAGCAGAGTTTAAAAACCTAGTGAGCTGCTTAATCAAACAGCACATTTGGGCATCATAGACTTGTATCTATATTGTCTAGAAAGGCTTTCTAGGTAGACAGCTCTATAGGTTATGAGACATTATGCCTGTGATGCTAAAAAAATGCTTAGATGGCAGCTCAATAAGTCGCACCTATAACACTCATATGAGTGAAAATAGCCTATATGTGAATGAGAGGAACTCTTCGAGAATATTTGAGTATCTGTGTGAGGGAAGCCTGAAAACACAGATTGTGTGAGAACAGGAACTCAGACAAGTGTGAGTGTGGGAAAGAGATGTTATTTGTGTCTGATTATGGGTGTGTGCGTACAAATTGTGAGAAGGCGAGTGCAGGTTTTGTGTGTGAGAGAGAGAAAGGGAGAGCGCGGAAACTGTGAGAAGTAAGACGTGTCTCAGCCTCGGTGGAGCCCACGTCTGTCTGTTCTGCAGTGTACCGTGTGTGTGTGTGAGTGACAGCACCCTGAGAAGTTATCCGCACAGCAGTGGAATAGTGTTTATCACTACCGCTATGATTCATCACACTGCAAATGAAAAGCAGCAGGCAGGCCCTGAACAAGCCTCACCACTGTGCACACTATACGTGCTTGGGATGGGTCAGGATGGGCAACTAGTGCACCTGTACGTGACTAGATGATTAGCTTATCTAGAATTGTTACTAAATTTCTGCTTTAGCATTAATATTTTAGTGGTGGTGATTAACTAATACACATTTCTGTTAAGATCTCCATCGTTGTGAGGACTGTATAGTTGACTACACATTTTTACTTGCAGCCTGCACTTTATTTTGTTATTTTATACATGTAGATTGACTTCACTAGCTAAGTTTCCATCCAACTATTTTTATGCACATTTTAAAATATCACAAAAAACGCTGGATGGAAATGCCGAAATGCGCATAAATTCTAAAAATCTGCACATAAAAATGTATGCACTCAACTAAGTCGGATAAACTTCTTATCGGGTAAGAAAACATGCGCATAAACTACGATGGAAACAGTTTTAGCAAATATTCCTTAATGCGCATCAAAAAAGATCTATTGGAATTGAAGTAGCAAACTGGAACTACAACTGTAAATCGAAATTTAAAAATTTGAAATGAAAAAACTACAAACGCTACTACTCTACACTACTCAAAACTCACATTTGAATCATCAATGGCAAATTCTTTATATATAAAAACGTACTTACAGTCTGTGAGTCAGAACAGTCGGCATTGTAGTCTACTCTACCAGGATCAGTCCTCCATAAAATGCGCTGGACACATCGGAATATTTGGGTTGAACTGTTCTGGAACAGTGTTGTAAATACAACTTAACCACTGATTTCTAGTCGTGTCCTCTTTTGGAAGGCCAAACAAAGTAGTTTCGCTTTCACAAACGAAACACAGCGTCACACGGCGGGCTAGCCCCTTCAGACCTGATTTTTTTCTGCTGAGCAAAAAAAAAATTCCCCGTTGATTTTTACTCCCTTCCAGCATAGAAATAAAGGGGAAAAAACATTTTTGATAACTCGTTTTTATTGGTATTTTTTCATGTCCATTGCAATGGGCGCCACGACTAAATGAACATAAAATGCCATGAAATCTTAGATTAAAAAAGGCCATGTTTTTAACATAGGAGGTTGGCGGATTGAATGGGTTGGATGATTGTGGGCAATGTAACCCCAATAAATCAGTTTTGCATTTAGTTATCATGGAACTTCCAAACGCATTGCTAACTTTTAACATTGTAAGCTAATAAGAGATCACACAATTACTAACAAATGGAAAATAACAAAAATACATCTGCTGGATATTCCATATATTCTCTCATTTGCGATGAGCAGCCTTGAAGCAGTTTCTGTGTGGCACAAATCAAAGGTGGATGTTGCATTTGTCACAGAATGCATGTGTTTTCCCTGTGCAGTATGGCCTCGTGCATTTGG